CTCCCCCTGCCTCACTGACTCCGGACTCCCTGTGCCACACCCATGGTCTCCCGAGCCAGTGGGGTCCTAAGGCTGGGTGTAGGCAAGGAGGAGGGGCTCCAGGTACCAGAGAGGTCTGTGACAATTGTGCTCCTCGGACACACCCTGTAAAGCCCCTCCCTGGTGACTCTGAGGGCATTCCAGAGAATGGGTGGTGACAAGAACCGGACCCTCCCCCCTGCCCCTCGGCCGGGGTTCCCCCAGCAGCAGCCACGTATAGGGGTGTACACATCAGCCCAGGGGACGTCGGATTTGAGAGGACAAGCACTAGGAGTACCGGCACCTTGGGACACCTTGGGGCACGAGCGGCCCTGGAGATAAGTAAGGATCGATGGAGACAAGGAGATAAGGTCCTGCACGGGGAGGTACACCCGGGGCGGAGACAGAGCTCCACAGGGTGGACCGACCTATATCCTACCCAGATTAAGAGGGACTCACCCAGCCCCCAACCCTCCCTGCCACTCCCCACCCACTGGTGCCTGTGCTGGTTTCAGAGAGGAACCTGTAAGCAAGGAAGAGGCAATACCCCTCCTGGACCCCATGCAAAGTGACCCAAAGTGAGGGCTGGAGACAGACTCCAGGGATGGCTTATCCATCCGATCATCTTTTATCTGCCTTTAGAGAGAGAGGTCCCTGCTCTAGCCCTTGGCAACAGACCAATATGGCCTGTAACTGGAGCTGTAATGCAATCCCCACTTGCAGGGCTGAGTGCACAAGGGGCCCTCCGAGTGGGGTGTCAGGGAGGCCAGGGTGGGCTGAGGCCAAGGTCAGAAACCCAGGTGATGTTGCCTGCTCTGCCTGGAAGTGGGGAGCTCCGCATTTCCTACTCCTGCCTCAAGCTGTTTCTCGACAGAGAAAACCCCTGGGGAAGGAGCATGGGGGTGGGGAGAAGGGGTCACTCAGCTCCACAAGGCGGTCTCTGGCTGGGGACTGGATTCCCAGCTTCAGGAAACTTCTCTCTATGCTCCCCTTCAGCGTAGCCTAGAGGTATGAAATCGCTCCCGCTGCAGAGAAGGGCCTGATTGCAGTAATTAGTGGAAGCGTCAGGGTGAGAAGCCGCCTGGCGGCAGGCCAAGGGGCCAGCCGGCTTCGCGAGAGACCTGGGGAGGGGTGCGGGGGGTCGGTGCCCGCCACCGAGAACGGGCAGTCAGCCCAGGCTAAGAGGGGACTCACCACTCTCTGGACCATACAGGACCCCAGGCAGCCTTGAACACAGACCAGAGGGATCCAGTTTGTTCCCAGGGAGCGCTGGGAGTGATATGGGGAAGCGCCATTCCTCCAGCCTTGTGACTCCATGCAGAGGGACTTCCCCACCCAGCTCCTCCCAGGCAGAGGGTGACTCACCTGATGGCTGGGTCTGGGAGAAGAAACTGAGCTTAGCTCCCTGCTTCCGTCCCCAGTAGATGCATTTAATTGTGGAGGGGAAGTATTAGCAAGCCCAATGTGGCCGCAGATCCAAGTCCACATTTTTCCAATCTGGCTTTTACTAGTAATCAAGCTGACGTTTTCATCTCCATCTGCCCAACCCTTGTGCTTCCTCTCAGCTAATTCCAAACCGGAGGATAACCCATAATAACCCCAGGAGTCTCACATACACGATCCTACATCTCACCAACATTCCTAGCATGAGCGCTGAGAGGGGAAAGCGAAGAGTCCAGAGAGGCTCGTAGGCAGGATTTCCAAAACTGCAGGAGGAGGCCCCTGTCCCTGGACCTGGAGGTTCTCCTGTTCCAGACCTGGAGCTGGGGCTGTGGTTACGAGGCCAGCAGCTTGGGGGTCTCGCTGAGCTCCTTCTAACTAAAGGGATGAGCTGGGCTGTGCTCCTGAAGGATATGCTAGCTCCTCTCTGCCACTTCCCAGCGAGAGGTGTCAATGGTAGACAACACCATATCTCTGCCCTCCGGAGGAGCATGGGAGGAAGGCTTAGCTGCGGTAGCGGGACAGGCCTATTTCCAGCCAGAGGGAAATATGTGTCCCCACATAAATGGGCCTGGCCCCCTCTCTATTGTGATATTGCAAGGATTTTAAAACACCACCTTGGGGGGGCACCTGGGTGGCTCAGTCAGTTGAGCATCCAACTTTGGGTCAGGTCGTGATCTCACGGTTCGTGAGTTTGAGCCCCACATCGGGCTCTGTGCTGACGGCTCAGAGCCTGGAGCCTGCTTTGGATTCTGTGTCTCCCTCTCTCTCTGCCCCTCCCCTACACTCTCTTCTGTCTCTCAAAAATAGATAAACATTAAATTTTTTTTAAAAAACCCCACCTAGTCTAGACCTCTTCAAATCTTCTTGTTTATAAAAATCACCCAGGAAGCTTGTTAAAAATACAGACTCCTGGGTCCCACCCCAAGCCCTCGGAATTGAAGCACCAGGGAAGATGTCTGAAGATCTGCATTTTAAACAGCGCCCCTGGTGGTTCTTATCAAGTAATTTTGGGATGAGCTGAAATATCCAGATACCTCACTGGACAGAAGAGGAAAAACAAGGCCAAGGAAGGTAAGTGACTTGCTCAAGGTCACCACCGTGTTAGGAAAATACTGTCTTTTTTCTTTCTTGCCTCTTCTGTTCTAATACAGAATAGCCTAAGTAGAATAACAAAATCAAACAAATCGTTATTCTTATATTAAGACGGAAAATATCAAGTGCGAGAAAGCAAATGTCAGTCTAAGTGTTACCCTCAAGGGAACCATTTCCCTAACTGGCAACAGGCCAGAAGGCTGGAAGGCTCCTAGCTGAAGCAGGGGCTGTACAGGGAGCTGCCCACCTCCGAGATCTTCTGGAATTGATTGTTGGACTGGCTGCACTTCTCAGCGGTCTCCAGAGCGACTTTATAGTTATCCACAAACGCTTTGTACACACCAAGCTGGCTGGCCTGCAGGGAGAAGAGAGGAGAGAGAGAGGAGAGGAGGAGTGGGATGGGAGAGAGGATTAATGAATGGATGAAAGTGTAAGCAGGGCACCCGGAGCTTCCTTAGCACTCAGCACCTCGGACTTAGCTCCAAAGGGCTACGTGGGAACAGAGGGGAAAAGGCAGGATGTACATACTACAGTATCCCTTTGAACCTGACTGTTTCCATGGAAACCAGCTCAGCCAATAAGGTTAACAAGAGGGTACTGGGGGCTGGGGGGAGCAGGGCAGGGCCTTTGTTGGCATGCTAGAAACTCCACAGCATTCGGCTTTATTTAGCATCATCAAGGTCTCCCAGTGTTTGAAGCCCCTTAATGCCCCATGTGTCTTTCAGAGCCTGGAATTAGCTGGAGCAGGGAGGGCACATGTTTCCTGTTCAGTACCCCCACTCCCCATGCTGAGTATAAGGCACAGCATTTAAAGGTGCAGTCCCCAAGCGCCTGACTGGCTCAGTTGTGGAGCATCCAACTCTTGATCTCAGGGTTGTGGGTTGGAGCCCCATGTAAGGTATAGAGATGACTTAAAAATTAAATCTTTTTAATTTTTTAAATGTTTATTTTTGACAGAGAGGGAGAGAGAGAAAGAATGGGGGAAGGGCAGAGAGAGAGGGAGACACAAAATCCAAATCAGGCTCCAGGCTCCGAGCTGTCAGCCCAGAGCCCTATGCGGGGCTCAAACTCACAAACCACAAGACCTTGACCTGAGCCGAAGTTGGACGCTTAACCGACTAAGCCACCCAGACACCCCTGTGTGTTTTCACTTTAAAGAACCGGGCTACTAGAAAATTTTAAGTTACATATATGGCTCACATTATATTTCTACCAGAAGCACTGCTCTAGAGAAGCTTGCCTATGTGCGCACCCAAGGAAGCATGAGTAAGGGTATTCACTGCTTCACTCTTCCTCCTGTGCAAAGACTGGTAACAAATGCTCACAGAAAAGGGGATCCATACACATACGTTGCAGTTGAAATGAATGAACTAGATCTCTGTGTAGTAACACTGACAAGTTCCAAAACAAATGTTGACTGAACTGTAAAATATATACATTTTAAAAAGACACGTAATGCCATAAGGAGATACAGATCCCTAATAAAAACACAAACTTACAGCCCAGAAGGCTACGCACCAAATTCATTCCAGTAGCTGCCTCTAGGTTGAGCAGAAGGGCAAGGGAAGGGGAGAGAGAGAAAGAGCCTTCATCTGTAATGCTTTGTTTTCTTGATTAAAAAGCCTTTCTGTATATCTTCAGAGCTTAACATCTGTTAATTCTGGGAGATGAGTGCATAGTTGTTTGCTACATTCTTCTATAGCGTTTCTGCTTTAAATATTTTTCAATGAAGTAGCAAGGAGGTTCAGCTGCTACGGGGCTCCCTCGGGGGGATCCCGCTGGGGTGCTGGGGACAGTGGGCTGCCCTTGAGCCCATCCTGCACCGCTCTGCTCTCTGCCGAGTCCTTGTGCTCAAGATCCCAGAGCGGCAGGGCAGGTGGGAGCCGGCAGGTGCAGGCCTGGAAAGCCAGAGCGGAAGGTGAGGGCTGGGATGCCTGCAGAGAAGCCGAGGCCAGAGCTGTGCAGGTCTCAGCCCCAGACAGGCCAGACTTCGCAAAACAAGAAAAATCTTGGGGGAAGGGCAGGAAGGGACGGAGCTCAGTTCCTTAGGGGAGGATCAGCCCACTGGTGTCCCAAGCTACAGGGAAGGTGCTAGACAGCTGCTTCCTAGGCTGAAGCAAAAGTCATTGCTATTCTTCTTCCAGGTATGTGCTCTCCTTGTCCCCCCTTTTCCGCAAGAACGACAAAGGCTGGCTGCCCAGGTCGGAACACTAGCCTCCCATCTCACTGCCTCAGGGAGCAGCAGGAGGGGAGTCAAAGCAGGAGCCACCTGGGCAGAAGGCCTGTGTGTAGGGGGTCACTGACCATCCCAGGCACTGCCATCTCCATGGCATGCCCTTGTCTGTAGAGCCCAAGGCCCAGCCTGCCAGGGCCATTAAGTGGGAAGTGGAGGTTGCCTGGAAACAGCAGCTTGGCACTGGGGTGAGCTCATAAAACAAACAGCAGAGATGCTAATTCCCTTCTCTCAGTAATGGAGACCAGCTGAAAATAAACTGCCTCCAGATGCCCGGACTGCCCCAGCCCTCCCAAGCCTGCAGCTCCGGGGGCCTCAGAGAGCAGTTCACAATGTTGGAGGGGGGTAGGTGGGGAAGCAAATCACAGCCCGGGCCTGTGGGGGGTGAGACCAGAATGGGGGGGACCCTCGTGACAGCAGGGTCCAAGTGACAAGGATAAACTGGGACAGTCCACTCTGCTCTGGCCTACGCCTCACCCCAACTCTGGTTAGCTCTCATGCCCTCCCAAGCCGATCAGCTCAGGCTCCTGGGACCAGGTCGGGAGTGATGAGTGGGTATTCACCAGCCCTGACCCAGGGCAGGCACCTGGGGCCGCCAGAGCCAGGAGCGAGCATGGGGCTCCCGTGCAATACCAGTGTATGCGGTGCTCTTGCTAAGAATAACAACAATGACAATGGTAATGGTAATAACAATAATGCTAATGGCTAACTCTTGAGTATTTCCTAATTTATTATGTTCCAGGCCCCGTTCCAAGCACTTTTCAGGTATTAACTCACGTAGTCCTCACAACAATTCAATGGGGTAAATACTATTATTATCCTCTTTTTTTTACAGATGAGGAAGCTGAGTCACCAAGACATTGAACACAAAGTCACGGGTTCAATCTGTGGCAGAGCCAGGATTCAAACTCAGTTGTGGCTCTAGAAGCTATGCTTGTCCCTACAACACTGCTGGCCTCTCCGGACACAGACCTCAGGCCCTGTGATGTCTCCCTCAATGCCCTAGTCCCAGTGGTCAAGGTCACGGTGCACTCATTCATTCATTTATGTATCAAGCACCGGGCTGGTTCTGGGGTCTAATGATGATGAAACAAATACAGTCTGTTCTCTCAGAGTTTATGGTTTTGGGGAGTCAGGCAGTTACAGTGTTCACTGAGGGGATAAGCACAGGGGCTGTGTTCTAAGGTCTGGGTAAAGTTTCTCCAAAGAGGCCGTTCTAAGCTGGGAACAGATGGGGAAGGACATTTCAGGCAGCTAGAGCTGCAAGGTTAAGAGTGTCTGCTGCCTGAACTAAGAATAGAAAGTTCAGTGTCGGGGGCACCAGGATGGGGGAGGCAGCAGCCAGAGGCCGCGGGTGGACAGAGGCCAGCAGGCGAAGGGTCTCAGAAGCCGTTTCTCAGAGCCTGGCATTTATTTATCCAATGGGCAAGGGGGAGAGATTTAAGCAGGGGAGAAGTGAGGTCTGGTGAGGAATTCAGAGAACTCTCTCCTGCCAAGAGGTAAGGGTGGGAGGCTGCTGGGGAGGGGAGTACTGGCTGCTAGAAGCAGGAGCCACTAATGAGATGAGGGCACCAGAGAGGGTGGGGAGAAGAAGGCTGCTGTGAGCTTTATTTATTTATTAATTTTTAAAAATGTTTTATTTATTTCTGAGAGAGAGAGAGAGAGAGAGAGAGAGCAGGGGAGGGTCAGAGAGAGAGGGAGATACAGAATTTGAAACAGGCTCCAGGCTCTGAGCTAGCTGTCAGCACAGAGCCCGACGTGGGGCTCGAACCCATGAACTGTGAGATCATGACCTGAGCCAAAGTCAGCTGCTTAGCCAACTGAGCTACCCAGGCTCCCCAATTTATTTTTGAGAGAGAGAGAGAGTCTCACACACATGGAATCAGAAGCAGGCTCCAGGCTCTGAGCCGTCACTACAGAGCCCGAGGTGGGGCTCGAACCCACAACCTGTGAGATCATGACCTGAGCCAAAGTCAGACGCCTAACCGACTGAGCCACCCAGACGCCCCTGCTGTGAGCAGTCAAGTGGACTCCTTGGGATGCAGGGAGGGATGCGGACGGGGAAGGTGGTGGGGCGAGGAGATGCCAAGGACGAGGCCAAGGGAGTCATGGATGGCTGGAGGCTGGGATGGAGGCAGCACCCACTGAGACAGAGGCGGGAAGAGAAGCAAAGAGTTTCAGACACATTGAGTTCAGTTGTGATCGTGCTGAGCTCAAAGTCCCGGGAGCATCCAAGCAAACGTTTTCTCCAGGGTAAGCAAAGTACAGGCCTGTCTGTTCACCCAGTCCCACCACTGCAGGGGAGGTAAAGGAGAGGCGCTGCTCCCCGCCCTCAACCATTCACACCCAGAGAACATAGACCCCTGACTGACGGTCTCCCTCCTGCCTCCTGGGCTGGCAGAAGTAATGGGCCGAGAGAGACCAGGGAGGAGTGGGGTTGGAGGCCCCGGGGGTCTGACCTGGGGGCTCCTCCAAGGGACACAGCCAGAGACAGTGTCAGAGCCAGGGGAGAGGATGTCACAGGAGACTCAGGAACCGGAAGATCTCTGCAAGCCTTTCCCAACAGTACGTCTGCACGGCAATTCTACCTCCTCATACCTTTTCCCTCCCCTGCAGTCCCTCAGGAGGGCTGACCTGCGTCCCATCTGACTGCTCATTCCAGAGGCAAAGTGTCCCAAGTGAGTAGTCCCTGCCCGCCCATCTGGCACCCGCCCCTCTGTCAGCTGAGGACAGGGGACCTGAACCCCAGTAAGTGAGCCTTCGTTCCAGCCCTGGAACCCCCTTGTGGAGAGAGAAACCTATACACATAGCCCCTCACGTCCCTGGAAGACTTAGGGCTTCACCGTGGGAGACCAGGAGTCGAGGCACTAGGCCTGGGCTTTCCTCCGGGACTCAGAAATGACCCAGGCCTCCAAGGAGGCCAAAAGCGCTTGGGGATGGCCGGTCCTCTCCCAACACCAGCAGCTCCACTGAGGCACCGGATAAGGACCCTCCATCAACAGAAGACTCACCAGCTTCTGGAAGAGGTGGCCCATGGTGACCTGGCTGTCCCACTGCTGCACCTTGGGGCAGAGGTTGTCATAGAACTCCTTGTGGATCTCGTAGATGTCCTGGATCTTGTAGAAGATGGTCTCGATCTGCTGGATGGTGAGCACGGGCTGGGAGGTGGTGGCTGTGGCCTTCAGGGGCTTCATTGGCTTGAGTGAGGAGGAAGAAAGAGACGAGGTGAGAGGCACATAAACCAGAGGGTCGGAGGGCCCGGGGCACCGATGAGCCTGTCCTGCAGCTGGAGTGGTGCCTAGACAAGGCCACCGAGGGCAGGGCACCTGAAGCGTGGTTTGTATCAAGTAGCTGCTGTCACAGGCTCCAACAAGCCATACCTGACTGCACGGAGAGGGAGCTGACAGCCAGGGCCTGGGCCAGCAGCCCTCCCAGGCCCAGGGGTTAACTAACACCAGGACACATTTCCCCCACGCCCTCACCCCAAGGGGCCCCTGCCCCCAGCCTGCACCGAGTTTGCTTATTGGTTTAATAGGACATGTCCTTCTTCCACAATGGCCTTGGGCTCTGAGTCACAAGCTCCCTCTGTCATACTTCAGTGGAAGGGAGGGTTGCCTGGGATCTCAGCCCGAGCTACTTCCTTCCAAGAAACATGATTCTACGGTTTTGGGGTAGGGTCTCACAGAGACCCAAGACCAACGTCAGCTGCACTGACATTTCAAGTTCCCATCAACTTAGTACATATATATATAGAGAGAGAGAGACAGCGCGAGCGAGCGCGCAGGAGGCACACATGCCCCTGTCCTGCCTCTTATGCCCGTGGCAGACATCGCTAGTCGATCACAGTGCTCTTTCTCACTGAGCTTCGTTGTGACCGCAGACTGTTTCTCAGTGCTGAGGTCGACGTGTGAGATGAAACTTCTCTGTCAACCTGCTTGCCTGCACGTGGAGTAGAAGAGGTGATCAACAGTAACTTGGGACCACTCCCTAACACTGGCCAGGGGCTAGAACTATCACCTCAATGCCCCATAGCAGGGCTCGTAGGAAAACAGGACTTGGGTGTGTGTTCTTCAGGGTGCTTTTCTGTGCATAATGAGTAAATATTCATTTGATAACCAAGAAAAAAAAGCTATTAGAATTTACAGTTGAAACAAACAAACAAAAAGCCCCTGATACGGAAGGATAAAGAGCTCTTCTAGGTTGGCCTTCCCTCAGCCCCAGGCCTACAGGAGATGCCTTGACCGCACTCCAGAGGCCCTCCAGGAGACAGGGTCTGGAAACCTGCCATGCAGAGAAAGTACGGGAGAGGCAGGCACATTCACCCGGAAGACAGAAGCCTGAGTCAGACACGGGTAATATTCTTCATTAGCTGAAGGGCTGTGTGTGAAGAGAGGCCTCTGACTTAGCTCGAGTCAGTCTGGAGACCCAGGAACAGCCAGAAGTTACAGGGGCAGATGTGGTCTCACTAGAGCCATCCCCCAGTGTCTCACTGGATGGGTACTGGGCTTCCCGACCAGAGAAGCATTCAAGCAGATAAGAGGCAACTGGATGGGACACCGACCCTGAGGGAGACCGAAGTTACCCCTGGCCCACTCTAGGAGCTCTGAGAGACGACATTCAGCTCGCACTGTCACAGCAGTCACACTCCAGGCGAGTTTCCTGTGCTCCTCCCATCTGGCTCTCTGGTGGTGGCCGGGACATGTCGAGGAAGTCCCCTCGACTCAAACACCCAGATGATGCTCTGACCTCCAGCTCCCCCATCCTCCTGGCTCTAAACAGTCCAGAAAGGATGATAAAGGCAGGGAAAAGCAGAGCCCTCCTTCTGACCCTTTTAGCTAACCCTGATGCCCAGGCCCCGCTAAGGCAGTAGGATGGGGTTTCACCTGGTGCAGGCCAGGTGGTGTGGGCTTGAGCCTCCACTCTGCCACTCAGCAGCTGTGGGCACGTCGCTTAGCATCTGGGCCTCAGCAGCCTCGTTTGTAAAACTGGGATAATATCACCTTGAGAACACTGATGGGAAGATCAAAAGCCATAATTTATATAAAATATAAAGTGTGCGCCTGGCACACAGAAGGCAGTGAATAGTGTTAGCTGCTACTACTACTATTATTATTATTATTATTAATCCCACAAATAACGTACTGAGTGCCTAACGTGAGGCCAGGCCTGGGTATTCAGTGATTCACAACACACGCCATCCCTAAGCCTGGGGAGCCTCCCATCCAGTAGGGGAGACGGACAAAACAAAAGGAAACAAACGCACAATTTACACAGAAGTGCAGTGAAAGAAATAAGACGGGGACCTCCCGAGACAGGATGGTGAAGGACAGCTCCTCCCGGAAGAGGACATTTACCCTGAAATGGAAGGGGTGCAGAGGACAGTGCTCCAGGCGGACTTCCTCAATGCCGGTCCCAAGGTAGGTACGGGCTTGGCGAGAGAGAGGAGCTGGGAGGGGGCAGTGAGCCTGTGTGCCTGCCTGGGCTGGGGGGCAGGTAGCAGGGCCGGAGGACTGGGCAGAGACCAGATCAGGCAGGAAAGACAGGCAGCTTGTAAACCCTCGCAACGAGGGTGAGGCAGGGGCGTGATGGGGGTCCAGCTCTCTCTACGGGAGGTTTCTTTTCATGACTCATGATCCTTGCTCTGGAGAACATTATAATCCATTTGGGTAAAACGGATCAACACAAATGAAACAATCCAGTGGACAAAGCGAGATAGGGTGTCACCCATCTTGGACTGTCAGCACCGACCAAGTGGTCCCAAGGTTAGTTGTGCTGGCACAGCTCGGAGGGCTTCACAGAGGAGGCGACGGGAACAGAGCCTTGAGGTTTGGGAAGCTGAGCAGGTGGAGGGTGGGTGGGGCATGGGTGAGCACGGCAGGCAGGGGAACGGAAGAGACCAGGGGCTGGGAGAAAGGGAATGCTGTTCTCCTAACCCCCGGTGGGCGGCTCCACTCAGCTTCAGGGCTCCTGATATTCTGGGAGGGACACAGAGCTGGTCCTTCAGATCACTGTCCTAGTGTATCCTTTTTTCCTCTATCCGGGACCCAGTGGAGGGTCAAGTCACCACGGAGCCCCAGAACCTCTACTCCCTGCTCGTGCCTGGGTGCGGTCCCC